ATTTGTAGCTTAATTAAAATATTGGGTCAGCAAATACTTCTGGCAAATTATTTGCAACATTTTGCAAATGAATTATTTCTTGAACTTCAAGTTCACATTTTTTTAACGAGGATCTAGATAATTCACCCCACACATAATTTTCAGCTGCTACACATATCTCCCCTTAATGTTAGGAAATCTAACATTTACCCCCAACCTCATTTGGGGATCCATCTTTGTGCGTGGTAGAACAATAAAATCATATGTGCACAATCAAATTTTTAGATGGAAATTATTTGTTTCTTGACCCTGAACCAAATGTGATGGGAGAACCTTGTTGGCTTGATTCATACACGTTACAACTAATTATAGCTAGACCAACCAGTATTATCAACACAATTTTATAGTTTGAAACTGTGCTCTTAATTTAACAATTTGAGCAAACAACCTTACAAAAACCAATTTGTAAGTTGATACAAATGCACATGTGACCATACCATAGATGCATCTATTAAATCTAATAGTAAGTGGTCCACATGGCAGGTGAATGGGCCCATCTTCACCTTTTTATATGTTCCAAATAATTTCAGGGGATACAATCCTAACCTTAGCTGGTACAATGATCATTTTATTATGAGAACAAGCAACACATGAGAATTCTTGAAGAATCTTTTATTTCTTCAACATATAACCACATGAATGCTCAATTCTTTTGCATCACATTTGGACCGAAATGGTCAACCGGTTATGCCAACATATATTTATTCTAGTAAACTTCTAGTTTACTTTTGCATGTGATTCCTTCATCATGCCCATATTTTTATACAACAAACAAGAGAAAGATGGGCAACCTTTTATGTAAATATTCATAACCCATTTTGATTGTAGTAATTTGAAGATATTTAATCTTTCAATAATCTACAGTCTCAATATAACAATTTTTCTTTTCAATTCCTCTGAAACTTAAAAAGTTTCTTTTGAGACATACTACAACCTCAATATTATGAACTATTTCATTTTCTGGATAGTAACAAATTAGTCCTTCTGAAACTTTCAATTAATTTTGTGTAATGCCACAAATTTCACAACACCATTCTTATGGATACCATCTCCTTCAAGGAGAAAATTATTATTATTGTCATGGTTAAAATTATTATTGCAAGACTTATTTCTTGACAACCAATGACAAATTTGTGTTGCCACATAATACCACTTATTTTGGTCATGACCATAGCCTTTATAGAAAATAATTATTTCTTTCTTTTGTCCTCCAATAGTTCATAATAAAACATACCACAATATTTGTGTAGTACTAAAAGAATATGACCGAAATGACCATTTATGTCAAAATATAATGTTTTTTCAATATCTCAAACCTCCCGTACAGGTGAGATGTGGCAATTATCCAACCATACATGAACATGTCCTTATCCATACGAACACAAGTCACATTCTCTTCAAGAAATGACCATAACCATTTGTACATGCTCCATAAGTTTTTATTAGTCATACTTTGATATTATCAAATTTATTTGACCCACCTCAACATCACTTTAAAAGTACTAAATGTACTACCACTTTGTATTTCTTTATTTTGATGGAGAATTTAAAAGATTTTTAAATTGGGTTGCACCAATTAAATGTGCCCAATAACTTTTCATACCACTTTGATGGCCAAAACTTACCTTCACATTTGAAGGACCATCTTAAGAACCCATAATGTTCTTCTTTTTAATTACCACAATTGACCAGTAATATTTTACCACACTCATATTCATACATTTAACCACTTGTCATTTTCAGACACATTATGTCCTGCTACCACATTCACATAAAAGAATGGAGCAAATCAATTGGACAAATTTCATGACTTTTATCAAGAGCATATCAATTTGCTCAATCATTGTTACATCGTCATTATATAACGTTGGGACTTGAACCCAACGTCTTACCCCCTAAGAAGGCATTTTAGGTCATTATTTGTTGGGACCCAACCCATCATTTTATTATCATGATGCACCAGGACTCTCACCCGATGTATTACCCTCTTGGTGCGATAGGACTTGAATCCTTCGTCTTACCCTCAATCAATGACATAATAAGCCAAATATAATATGACTGACCTTTGAGCCTTAAAAAAATATTGTGACTTTGTGGTTAACATGCACAAATAAATATAGAACAAAAGAAACACAATAAAAATATTCTCAACAAATTATGTACTAATATCTTAAACTTGTCAAAACAGAGAGTTACATATAGCATTATATTATATTATATTATGTTGGTGCACAATAATTAAGCTAGTGAATTACCGTTATAAATCAAAGAATCAATTGCACACTAAGAAAATAATAATTTCAATTACACAAATAAAATTGCTCACTAACACTACTCCTTTTTCAATTTTCATGTGAACCCAAAATATTTCACAAACAAAACAAAACAAATTAAAAGCTTATGCAATAACCAAAACAATGAGCATAATCATAAATAAAATATAAAATAAGTTTCACATACAAAAGAAAGTATATATAGTCATAGGTGGAAAAAGAAATGCACAGTAACAATAATATTAATCATTCACCTTGTTCACAAGTAAAATATAAAATAGATTCCACAATAATTTACCTTGTTTCCGAGAGTAAAAATAAACAGAATTATTTTACCTTCTTTTATTTACTTTGCTTCAATCCTGCAGTGGTAGAACATTCGTGCTGATAGCGTGTTGTAAAACTAAAGTAAAACAAGACAAGAAATATAGAAGATACAAGCAATAGAAATAGAGAGACAAGAGATGAGAGCTTTTCTTATTATTCCAAGTCTTCAAGTGTATACAATATGAACCCTTATGCCTCTATTTATAGTGTAACATAGAGGCATACAAAAAGGTTAGTCATAAACATGACATTAGCATGAATATAATGGAGGAGGTTATGGAAGTGAAAGGTTACAAGAATAATGGTGTTATAAAGTTGGAGGTTATGATTATCTTCATAATGGAGGAAAGTAATGCAGATAAATGGGTGAGAGTAGCTTCTTGGTGTAGTGGACATCCACACTATAATATTTTATAACACTAACCTAATTTATGAAAAAGTTGTAAAGAAAATATTTTTTTTATTTTTAACTTTTTAAGAGACGTGTAACACTAACCTAATTTATGTACATACATCTTCTTGATAGCTATAAATACATATTGCTTGGCCTAGTGAAAAATATAAGCAAACAACTAATACACACAAAAAATACTTTTCACTTGCAAGTCTAAAACATTGCACACCATGAAAGTGTTAGCAATAACACTATGGGTTCTCTTGTTTTTTATTTTGACAAATACCAAGTTTGTTGTTTGTGTAGGGATTTGCAGAGACAATGAGCAACAAGCGTTGGAGACCTTGAAGAAAGAAGTATATGATCCCTCGAATCGTCTCGCTTCTTGGGTAGTCGGAAAAGATTGTTGTGAATGGGAAGGGGTCGTGTGCAACAATCTCACTCGTCATGTGATTGAGCTAAGCATTTATAGTGATCAGATCGAGTCGAGATATCTAAGGATCAATAGCCTAGAGTGGTTGACAAGTCTTTCGAGTCTTGAGAACCTAGAAATGTATAATGTGGATCTTAGCAAAGCTAATGAATGGCTACAAGTTATTAACATGCTTCCTTCTCTTGTTTATCTTCGTCTATACAAATGTAGTCTTTCAAGTCTTGAGCTCCGTTATGGTGGCATTGAAGGTGCGATACAGAGTAAGAGTGGAAACATAACAAAACTTAAACATCTTGATCTTTCTAGCAATAACCTTAACTCCACTATACCAAATTGGCTCTATCAATGTAAAGATCTAGAATCACTTTTCCTTGGATCAAATCGTCTTGAGGGAACAGTTTCAAGTCTGATTTCAAATTTGAGCTCAATAATTAGTATTGACCTTTTTGATAATATGCTTTCCGGAAAGTTACCAAATGTAATTGGAAAGTTAGGGAAATTAGGATCGCTTGAACTCTCAGTAAATCAATTTGAGGGAGATATATCTGAATTATTCAATTTTATGAGTAATTTCCTTTCCATAGAATTTGGAAATAGTTCTTCTTTAACTGTGTTGAGTCTAGACAATAATAAACTCACAGGAGCTGTTCCGGAAAGTGTTGGCCATCTTTCAATGCTACAAGGCCCTTTGTTTCCCACGTGGCTCAGAACTCAAAAAAAGATATTGAATGTCGACATATCAGATGGTGGAATACAAGGTGAGGTTCCAACTTGGTTTTGGAAATTGTCTCCTCAAATTCGATTACTCAATCTTTCTCACAACCAATTTGTTGGTGAGGTTCCAATCATCTCGACAGATGAGCAAAGTGATTCTTGGCTATTAATGTACTTGGGTTCCAACAATTTTAGTGGACCAATACCATTGATTTCAACAAATGTAAGAGAGCTAGATCTCTCAAACAATTCTTTTTCCAAAGGTTTATCTAACTTTTTGTGTGAAGCAAAGAATGGATCTTACAAATTGAGAATCTTAAACCTCGGGGGAAATGATTTATCAGAAGAAATTCCTGATTGTTGGATGAATTGGCCGGAGTTGAAAGTTTTAATCTTGAGGGACAATAATTTGATTGGAAGCTTACCAAGATCTATGGAGGTTTTGAGTAATTTGCGATCATTAGACTTACGAAGAAATAGACTTAACGGTCCGTTTCCTTCATCCTTGGAAAACTTCACAAAACTGCATAAAATAGATTTAGCTGAGAATGACTTTTTTGGAAAATTACCATCTTGGTTGGGAATGAGGTTTCCAACCTTAATAGTTCTTATCCTTCGGTCCAATAAATTTGATGGTGAATTGCCTAAAGAACTATGTCACCTCAAAGATCTTCAGATCTTAGACCTTGCAAACAATACATTTGTTGGAATCATACCAAGGTGTATTGGCAATTTGAGTGCGATGGTCAAAGTAAAAAAGAAAGTACTGGAAGATGATTTCGAGTTAAATTATTCCTCTCGTTATGGAACTTTGATAGAGAGTGCAATGGTGATGACTAAAGGCAACATGTACCAGTATGATACAATTTTGGTGTTGTTTACAAGTTTGGATATGTCTAGCAATAATCTTTCTGGAGATATTCCTATAAGTGTAACACGTCTTGCAGGATTAAGATCATTTAATCTTTCAAAAAATAATCTGATTGGTAGGATTCCAAATGACATTGGTGATATGAAAGTCTTGGAATCTGTTGATCTTTCAGAAAATCAACTTTATGGTCAAATCCCACAAAGCTTTTCAAGTTTGACCACTTTGGACTGCTTGAATCTATCTGATAACAATTTGTCAGGTATGATACCATTGAGCACTCAACTTCAAAGCTTTGATCCCACGAGTTTTCAAGGAAGTAAACTTTGCGGGCTCCCACTCTTGGTGAACTGCAGTTCGAATGGTAATGTTCCAAATCACGAATATGAAGATGAGGAGAGTGACAAAGATGAAGTGGATTGGTTTTACATTTCAATGGCTATAGGATTTGCACTAAGCTTTTGGGGTGTTTGTGGTTCATTGCTTTTCAAGAGATCATGGAGATATGCTTATTTTCGTTTTCTAGACCATGGCTGGGAAATGTTGCTTGCAAAGTTACCAGTATGTTGAGAGATATGATTAAGGATATTGCTATCATCAAAAGTTAGTTTGTGTGCTTACATTTCTCATGTTAGAAATCATGTTGTTTCATTTTGTATTCAAATATGTAGACTTTTATGTCTTAATAACTTCCTCAAATGAATGTTTCTTAAGATTTTCAAACAATGTTGTTTCTTTCCTAGTCCAATTTCTATTCAATCAGAGTCGTGAGACATATGTTAATTTCTTTATTTATAATTTTTTTTAGTACTTAATAAAAAAAGTTATTTACTAAATTATATAAATAAGGGAAAATTGTATAAAATAACAAACTATTAATTCAAATTAAATGTTATAACCACAATTTGATATAATTGTAACTCGTAGCAAACAGTTGTCATTCGCCTCTCTCCCCAGATTTCTCGCTCCCCTCTCTCCATTTCGCCTCTCTCACTTTATATAAACACAAATGTATAAAATGCATTTGTGTTTGTATAAAGCGAGAGAAAACTGTATATACAAATACAAATATATATATTTTCGTCGTATACACTTGTAATTATACAAATACAGATGTTCCCCTGCATAATTCTCTTTTTCCTTTCTCTCTTTCTCACTTTATACAAATACAGATTATACAAATTACAATGTATAATTTGTGTTGTATAAAGCAAGCGCGTGAGCGAGAGAGAGAGAGAGAGAGATGTTTTGATATACAAATATTTTATTTCGATTCAATTGTATACAAATTCAAATTTTATGCAGATATACAAACACATAAAATTGAATTGAGAGGCTGCCAGCGATTTATACAAACGAGAGACTGCCATCGATTTATACAAATGGGAGGCTGCCAGCGATTTATACAAATGAGAGGCTGTGAGCGATTTATACAAATTTGATGCTCCATAGCAAACATAAAGTTTGTTATAGAGCGTAATTATAGAAACTATAGCTATAACATACAAATATGATTTTTATGTTTGCTAAATCTAAAATTTACTTTTTTTAATACATCAAACAAAAAAATATCACCTTGAATTTTTTTGACAAGACATCTTATCGGTCAAAGTTTAAGAGGGGCTGAATTGAGAATGTCAAAATGGATCAAATCAACTTATTGACCGATCCAAATTACTTAAACGGATTGGGCCGATCATGTCTTTATATGCAAACTTTAAAGTAACAAAAGCTAGCAAGGCAGAGTTCTCTGCTTTGGATGGACAGAGTATTTCACTTGTTGTACTTCAATTCTGTGGCGGGGACGCCATCTCGCCCCACACCACACCCACCCTTGTGTAGCCGAGCTATTATTCATGATCGAAGGAAGCCTCGAGGTTGGCTTAGTGGACACTACTAACAAGCTCTATATATATACTCAAAATCTTTTCTTTAACCATAACTTTTGCATATATCTTTTATTATGAATTATTAAATATTTTGACTTAATGGTATTTTTTTATGTAGTTCCAATATACGTAGATTTTATTTTTAAGAAATTGAATTTTTCATATCCAAATTCACTATTTAAATTTAAAAATTTAACTCTCGAAATCCAAACTAAAAAGGCAAGTCCTTCTAGGAATTGGCTTATCTTGGAAAGAGACAACAACTTCTCATAACATATCTCAAGGTGTGTAGGGTATGTATTCGGTTTTTCATATTTTGAAAAATATTTGTTCTGAAAATAAGTTTTTTTGTAAATTGAAAAAACAACTTTTTTAGAGGAGTAGAAAAAACAAGTTCTTATAACACCTTGTTGTGCAGGTTTAGAGCCTAGCGCTTCAGGCCAGGTTTTGGGAAGAGTTGTATCTATTTTCCTTATATTTATGAATTTTATGAGAAAATATCGTTTTATGACTTATATTGATTCTTAAATGTTAGTTCTGTGTGTTCGTGCTTCGTATTTTGTTTTGTGATCTTGAGTAGGCTTACTTATCCGAGGGTTAGATAGGTGTCATCACTTCCCCAATTCTGCAAGCAATCGTAATTCCAAATTAAAACTTCAATGCGCACTTACTTTATATCAAATTTCTCATTTTGAAAACAATCCAAAAACTGATGGGAAAAAGTTTTTTTTTTTCACATTTCTCGTTCACACTTTAAAAACTCAAAAAAAAAAAAGTTTCATTAAGAATCAATCAAATTACAAAGAAGAATAAAAAATACACAAATGCTCTCTCATCGTAAATGCTCTCTTCTCTCTCCTCTGTCAAATCTCTAACAACGGCTCTTTTTCAGCCCATCTCAGTAACGCACCATCGGCAGGGGCCGAGTATGGCGAAAATTCGTGTGGAAGTAGATTTGCTAAAATCATTGCCTCAGAGTGTATGGGATGGATTGGAAGATGATAAATCACCTCTAAAGGGCTATTGTAAACACTTTATACAAACACAAATGTATAAAATGCGTTTGTGTTTGTATAAAACGAGAGAAAACTGTATATACAAATACAAATATATATATATTTTCGTCGTACACACTTATAATTATACAAATATAGATGTAACCCTGCACAATTCTTATTTTTCCTTTCTCTCTTTCTCGCTTTATACAAACAAAGATTACACAAATTACAATGTATAATTTGTGTTGTATAAAGC